ATATGCGCTCAACTATTGGCAATTTTAGGCCAAGAGTGCTGGGAGTATGGAGTAATTTTCATACATTTTATATGTTTCAAATCGATTCAGTCGGAAATTTGAAGCGATTAGGTCCAATAAGAGCTAAGTGCGCTGTACTTTCGAGGCTGGCGCAACTAATTGTCGCTCTCTGGGAGTGGGACTAGCTACATATAGACCACAAACTGACAGAATAGAGTTCAGTTTCATTGATCTTTAACATCATGCCGTGCGGAAGCTGTCGATGGCAGTGTGTACTGGGCTTGTTCTGGCTGACTCAGCTGTGGACAGCAGTTGAAGCGGACTTTCCGGAGGACACATATCCGGCCAGTGTGCTAGAGGATGCGAAACTATCAACGGTATGAAGAGATCAGCTCGAGCAGAGATCATTTCAATAACATGTTAATAGCAGAGTGTTTGCCCTGTAGGTCCAGCTGTTGGCCAAGTACAAATATCCGGGCGAAACCCACACCGTGACCACCGAGGACAAGTACGTGCTGCAGATGCATCGCATTGCCCGACCAGGTGCGAAGCCTGTGCTGCTGATGCACGGACTGCTGGACAGCTCAGCAACGTGGATCCTGATGGGCCCCCATAGTGGTCTGGGGTATTTCCTCTACGACGCTGGCTACGATGTGTGGCTGGGGAATGTTCGGGGCAATCGCTACTCGCGAAGCCATGTTAAACTCAATCCCGACACGGACAAGTCCTACTGGAGCTTCTCATGGCATGAGATCGGATACTACGATCTGCCAGCCCTCATCGACGCGGTGCTGGCCAAGACGGGCTACCAGAAGCTGAGCTACTTTGGCCACTCCCAGGGCACCACCTCCTTCTTCGTGATGGCCTCCACTCGGCCGGAGTACAACGCGAAGATCCACGTAATGAGCGCATTGGCGCCAGTGGGGTACATGACGAATATGCAATGCCCATTCATAGGCATCGGACATAGGGTCCTCCCTATGATTGGAGAAGGACAGGAAATATTGCCATACTTTAAGGGTTTTAGTATCTGCATGATGTCGGAAACTGTTATGGACATCTGTATGTTTTATTTTTGGAGGATGTTTGGAAAGGATCCACCTGAAACTAATATGGCATGTTACGAAAAAGTTATCATTTGTCAGCCTCATCTAATCGTCCCTCTTATTTAGACAATGTTACCAGCAATGTTTGCACATGTGCCTGCCGGAGCAAACTCTAATCAGTTCCTTCACTACTTGCAGCTGCAGAAATCGGATCGTTTCTGTGCATACGATCATGGTGAGAAGGAGAATCAGCGCATTTATGGACGAAGCAAGCCCCCGGATTATCCTTTGGAAAAAGTAACAGCTCCTGTTGCTCTTTACTACACACAGAATGACTATTTGAGTGCTGTGAAGGATGTTAAAAGGCTGATCAAGCGGCTGCCCAATGTGGTTGAGAATCACATGTATCCATACAAGAAATGGAATCACATGGACTTGATCTGGGGCATCAGCGCTAGGCGCCTGGCCCAGCCTCGCATGCTGGAGGTCATGCAGTTCTACGAAGCGAATGGAGCACAGAATAGAACAGAATCAAAACACGAAGACACTGAAGATAGCACGACGACAGAAGCTGCGCAGACAGAGGAGACTGAAGAGCCTGAGGGTTTCCTTTCACATTCTCTTAAATACATCATGAATTACCTCTTTTACGATTAGGCTTTGAAATGAGTTTTCTGTGTGTCACGATCAGAGGTTTCATGAAATGTATATCAAATTCTAATTTGTTTAATATTAATAATAATATTATGAAATAACTACTCTGTAGTTTCATTTATTGTTTTAAGCAAGATTTTCGACTCCAAGACATTTGCAATTCCCGTTGTCTGACATCAGCATTTCATATATGTATATACCTAGAGTCTTCCCTTTATTTTCAGTCGACTGCATCCACTTGACTCTAATATATCCTGCCTTTGCCGTTATCCCCAATGCTTAGCAGCCTTTTGTGTTTGTTTGTTTTCTTTTTCAGAATTGTAAACTTTCGCCGTCTTCTGGATTTTCTGCGCATTAGCTAAAAAAAAACTTCACGCATGCGAAAAGTTCATTGTGCCAATTGCTGAATGTGTTGACGGTTTGCTTGTTCTAATTCCTGCTCTTACACACAGTTGTTGTTTTGGATGTTGTTGTTGTTGTTGTCGCTTGACTTGCTGTCAGCTGGCACACGAAATGTGTCGTCAACAATGTGCCGCTGTTTTTGCCGCTGTTGTATGTGGCATTCCATTCACACTGAGCACGCCCACTGCCACGCCCACTGGCTGAGACACTTTTATAAATTACTCACTTGGCTGTAGACCGCGACTGGCAGCGACAACAACAGCAGCAATAGAAAACGCTTAGAAAGTTGCATGTGTCAAATGCAAAGGCCGACATTTTGTTTACCCGCCACAACTGTGTGTGTGTGTGTGAGTGTGTGTGTTTGTGTGTTTGTTTATTTTGCATTGTGCATACAGAAACTTTAGCTTTGAGCGAAATTTTAATGAGCACAGCGCGAAAAACCACGAAGCAACTTTTTTATTATTTTCGCTATGCATTGTTTGCTATTTTAGTTGTTCTTGTCTATGTGTGTGTGAATGGAAATGCATTAAAGTGCAATTTTTGTATCCGGGCATGGGATTTAATGCTGCTGCTGCTGCAGCAGACTCTGCCCCAAAGCAACTCTGGGGTGTCGGCCACATCCGTTTCCGTCGCGTCGTCCGCCATGCTGCGTCCGAGACGCCGCGCCGCAGCGTAGCAGCTGGCAGGTGGCCCTGGTACAGCAGCTGCCTTGCAGCATTGCTCGTTCGCTTCATAAATCATACAACTTTCGCCTCACGTCGCAGGCTCTCCCCTCCCCCCTCTAACGTCCTGCCAGTCTGACTGCCTGCCTGCCTGCCACACAAGAAACTTGCAACAACCCAAGCTGCCAACTGACGCTAAGTGTTGAGTAAATGTTTTCGCGCCTCGTTGCGTTCACCGATTCCCCAAAAAAAACATTCTCCGTGGCAGTGTTGTTGTAGTTGTTGTTGCGGATGTGGCACGTGGTTGTCGGAGCTGCTTTGCTGCTGCTGCCTTTCGTCTGCCCTGTGCATAGAGTTCAAATATCCATATTAGTATTACTACTAAAATACCAGCAGGAAACCCTTCGCACAAAAACCAACAAACCGCTAAAGATTAACTCAAACTGAGTTTAAACTACATACAGCTTGAATTTAATAGATTTTGCATATGAAAAATTGTAACACATTTAGAGAGCCGTTCAGTAATATACTCTATATAATGCATATCAAATATATTGAATATGTATATCATTTATATATCTTGCCATGATATGATCACTCACAATCTCTCTCTCTTTCTCTATCATTTACTCTCTTACTCCATTACTCCAGTAAATTTATTGATGAAAGAGCCCGAATTTCTAATCATTTCACCCTGGATTAATCGCATAAACTTGAAATGTGAATTATTTAATTAATTTGATCATTTTCTGACAAATGATGCGAGAAGCTATTATGTATGTTTAATACCATCATCAGTCAATCATAATTCTACTCTAAATATAGTTTTTCCGATTTAGCATTGTCATCGTGGAAGCTTAACACTTCAGCAAACATGATGGGGTTGCATGCATTAAAAATAAATCAGGTATACTTACTATCGGGACATTTTGTATTTTAATTTTTTTTTTTTTTTAATTCTAGTACTATTTATAAATTTTAATTAAAGAGTGAACTGAATAGCACACAGATTTTTTTTAAATAAACAAATATATATCTATACATACAAAATATCCAAGTCTGAAATAGCAATACATTTAGTCTTAGACTTATATTATAGATAAATAATATACAATTTTAAATTCCCTTATAAGTAAACAAAATTTTTGCATCGAGAGTATTAAATCTTCTGCCCAGGCAAGCAGCTTCTTCTTCTCTCTGAAAGCAGCTTCTGCCCTCTGGCCTAGCACAGCTTCTTTATAAATAAAGAGCATTTCATGAGCATCTTGGATTATCCCTCTCTGGCAACTACATATGTCAAGCATGTCATTGATCGCACTAATACTACTCTGAAATACAAAAGTTCCCACTCGACTGAAGCTGCCATTGCACTCATTTTGGCATATTTATCCCATTATAATCCCGGCTGCATTCCATATCGAATTTGAATGTTCTAAATAAATAATATCGAACTAGCATTTCGTTTCACATATTTGAGCATGCTGAATTTTAATTAGAGTTTTAGATCTTTTGGCAAACACGTCGATTATACAAATAGAAATATTTCCCAAATTTATTGGCCCCGCAATAAACAGTTCCATAAATTTTCATATGCAATTTCAGTATTTATTATTTATTTTCCATATGACTTTATAAATAAACTCGTGTCAGCTGTTGTTGTTGTTGATTCCAATGAAATATGATTTGTTGTTGTTGTTGTTCGTTTGTTTTTATCGTGTTCTGAATTGTTTTTATTATTATTACAAGTAATATTACAACTAGAGATATTAAACATGCATAGAGATTTTAATTTTACGATAATTTGTCGTTGCTTTTTAGTGTTTTATTTTATTTGTGTATATGCTTAAAATGGAAAGGTATAAATAAGGGATTTATGTTTAAATATTACACACGTAAAACTAGCAATTATTTATGCATATATATTAAGTATACTCACACAAAAAAATAATAATATTAATAATTATAGTAAACAAACATTCATAGCCCGTGTTTGTGAAGTAATTACATGAAATGAAAATATATTTATATATGCTAATATATAAAATAGATTATGCTGATATTTACATGAAACTTAATATTAAGTATGTTAATTAATATTTATGTATACACACATATATATTTATGAATGTTAATTAAATTTTATTCATTAAGCAAATTGTTCTTTTTGATTGTGTGTGTGTGTTTTTTTCTATAATTTTGCACATTTAACATGGAGAACTTTGAAGTACGCTTTTATTTGTTTTTTTTTTTTTTTTTCTTTTTTTGTCTCTCTTTTTGGTTCAATTTCAAATTTCGATTGCCTGTAAAAACTTGCTTCAGTCTTAATACTAAATACTTGTGGCCATGGCCAGACCACACATTTTTCTAATCATATTTGATTTTTGCATTTGTAATTTTATTTTATTTTATTTGCAAGCATATAATTATTCATTCAACTGTTTTTTTTTTTTTTTTCTCCATTTCATTTTGTTGATATTTGTCATAATTTTTGGCTTGCAATTTAACACGCAAAAATTTCCGGCAAACACACAAATGCAAACATACATATATATATTTATTTATATATACGTGCTTCGTATCTCGACTAATTACTAATGGATTTTTCTGTGTGTTTATTTTGGTTTGCATGATTTTTAGATTGATGCATTTAAATTTTATTTCTTTCTCTTTCTCTCTTTTTCTTTTTTTTTTGGTGTTTTGCACGGTGCTTGATTTTTGGCATTGTATATTGCAAAAAAACTTTAAAATTTTATTATATTTATTTTATATTGTATTTTACACTTATTTGGTTTTCAATTATTTTGAATAATTCTTTGATTCAAGCAACGCTGTCTAAATATTAACTTCTTTTTTTTTTTTTTTTTTTTTTTTTTTTTTTTTTTTTTTTTTTGCAGCGTTTTTGAAACGTTGTCTTGAGTTATGGAGAGGGATACGAATAAATTGTAGATATGTCGCTAAGTTCTGCCCGAGACTACGTTCATATAATAAGCACAAGTATGTGGAGTAAGTGTATGTAGATTATTCTATAGGCTATGTAGTATAACTTAATATGCATATAGACATCGATAACTGCTAAATGTCAAGCTATATGTACACAATTCGCTACTCCTCCCATCTCTCTCTCGCTCTCTAGATCTCCCTCTAGAAATAATCCATTTTGGGCGCATCCAAAGCCGTGTGCATAGTCAAGGTGACGCCGCGATTAATGCTCACCGCTGGATAGAAGACGCCATAGAGATCCCGGAAAGCCACCGAACCCTGCGGCATCTCATTCACCAGGAAACTCAGCGTGTGCCGCTCCAGATCCAGAAGCACGCCAATCGTGCTGCCCGTGGTGATGCCGCCCTCGACGCGACGCTCGTGTATGGAATTGTGCTGGAACCACGAGCGCTGGCGATCAATGTACATGGCAAACGACTTTTCATCCTTGCCTGAAATGAACGGGAGATAGTGGAGAAGGTATTTAAAATAGGTAGATGGGATAGATAGATGGCTATGTATAGTTTGATAAATTTATATTTGATCAAGGGAAAGGGCTTCCTTCGGTCGTGCGGAAATACAACTCTTATATCAGGTATTCGTCTCAAGGATTTAAAGTATTCTCCAAGGATATTCAACCTGGCTCAATATGATCAAGTCTTGCAATGATTGATATATTTTTATATATTTGAATAAATATATTTATATATTTAAATATATATATTTATGTATATTTATATCTGATGTTCTATATTATAATTTTCCTGAGGATAATATTCTCCAAGTAAATTTACTCTGATTATTCTTCATAATCCACAGACTTTATATTGACTCGCAGCAGAGCTTTTAGCTTAGTCTACATTACTCTGTCTCTTTCTCTCTCTGTCTTCAGTGTCGCCTTCTCTTTCTTTCCCTCTTCAATATGTTTTTCCATCTACTACTGCAAATGGCTTCAGGCGCCATCAGTTTTTCCATTTCATTTTCAGCTTT